GGGGCGGGGCCTAGGGCGGGGCGGGCCTAGGGCGGGGCGGGGCCTAGGGCGGGGCGGGGCCTCAGGGCGACGCGCTCCCGCGCCCCCTGGCGCCAGGCGGGGCTGCTCTCGAGCCCCAGGTGCCTGCGGGGCGGTTTCCCTGGGAACGACCGGCTCCTCTAGTCCGCTGTTTCCTGGGCCCTAGAGGCGGCCTCTAGATACCTTAGGGCGCCTTCGCTGAGCTGACCCGGCTGGGACCCGGCGCCCACGCACTTTACACCTTGAGCGAGCCCAGGTCGCATCCTACCGACTGCCCTAGCATTCCAGAATGTCCTCTCCCATCCTTTGTGTGAGCTGTTTTATCGAACTTCCACCCCACTTTAAGACCTGCCAGTAGGAAAAGTGAACTTACAGACAGAACCAAGCACCTAAAGCCCCACATGGTAAGCAATCACAATCTTAGAAACTTAAAGACAAAGTACTAAAAGAGCTGTACTTTATGTGATACACACTGAACGGGACCATTATGGTGTGCGTGAGCTCATCTTATAGAAGGTAAAGAAAAGTAGGTTACATATAAGTTCTATTGGAATAAGAATGTTTGGGTCTGAACCTGCCACTAATTGGCAAACCTACCATCTGCGTGACCCTGAGCAAGTTAAACTCTCATCTCAATTTGCTCAGTCGATGGGTAAAATAAGCAGACCTACAACACTGAGCTGTTGCAAGCTTATGTGGTTTAAAACAAGTCAAAGCTCAGCGTACCATACGGCAGAGTGGAATAGCAGATATTATAACCGTTACCATCCACCTACAATCCAACAGAAAACTAAAAATTCAGTTTTATCCCGATCTAATATTTTTATGTGTCTATTCTATCTGCTATGTATTACCATGTCTCATCCATTATAACTCTTAAGCAAATCTTGTCTATCTCGTCTTATTCACTACCCACTAAATTATGATCTTCCTCATTTGCTTATTTATTCATCAAACATTAATTTCTCTCTGGTATTTATGGTGCCTACTGCTAGACAGGAAATGATTACAAACAGGCCCCTCCATCCAAGGACACCCCAGTGTCTTAGTTACTTTTTTCTCACTGCTGAGACAAAATACTCAACACCCAAAATTAAGGAAGGAAAAGTTCATTTAGCTCACAGTTTGTAGAGATTTCAGTCCATGTGTGGCTGGCTCCAAGGCAAGGTGGCATGGCAGACAGGGTTTGCAGGACAGAAACAGTTGGTGGCAGGCAAAATATAGCAAAGCAACAAGCAAGGGACAAGACAGTCGTCTTTCTTTCCCTTATATTGTGTCCAGGCTACCAGGATTAGGGCAATGCTAAACCCATTAGTGGTCTGAGTTAGTAATCACCCACCCTGTAAACCAGTTAGCGTTGCATGAATCACTCACACACTCTAGATTCAGCCACCTCTGCAAAATAAAATAATACTGATGACTTCATGAGGCTTTGGGAGGCATCTAGACACAAGCCATAAAATGTAAGGAGACACATATGTTAATAACAAGGAAAGAAAGAAACACAGCAAAACTTGTGGGCCCCTAGTCATGCCATACTCACACAGGTGTCTGTCTTTATGCAGAAGGAAAAGTGAAGGAGGAAAGGAGATGGGTCCACACCACACCCCCAGTGACCAGGTGAAAGCTGCCAACCAGATTTCACCTCCCAACATTATGTATAGCTATCAACTCATGAGTAGACATATACATCAATAGGCATGACCACACCCACATAATCCAGTTACCTCCCAAAGCCCACCTATGTGTCCATGAGATGGAGGGATCTAGTTATAAACCATTACATTCCACCCCAACCCTGAAAAGACTCAGGTGCACCTCTTCATGCAAAATGCATTTGGTTCATCTCTAAGAGTTGCCAACTTTTTTTTTTTAGCATTGCTCCAAAGTCTTAAGTTCAAAGTCTGAGATTTAAAGTAAACTCTTAGCCCTGTAAAAATGAAAAGAATGTTAAACATTGTCAACATATAAAGAGTGTAAACGCTCCAATTCCAAAAGGGAAAAATGAGAGAGAAAGGAATGGGACTGAAGCAAGACCTAAATCTAGCAGGGCAAACGTTAGATCTTGTAGTTCTGCATCTGGGATGAACATACACTTCACAAATGAAAAAATAAAAATGGCAAATAAGTATATGAAAAAATGTGCAACATCATTGATCATTCAGGAGATGCAAATTAAAATGAAACTGAGATTCCTTCTTATGCCAGAAAGAATGGTTGTCATCAAGAAGTCAACCAATAACAAATGCTATAGGAGCTATGGGGAACAAGGGACCCTTCTTCACTCTTGGTGGGAGTGCAGACCGGTACAACCACTATGAAAATCAGTGTGGGGATTCCTTCAACACTAAGATTGAGTGTCTCATTGAAGTCAACTATTACTCACTTCCTGGGTATTTTTCTAAAAGACCTGTAAACATACCACAGCGATACATGTACACCCATGTTTATAGGAGCACAATTTGTCATAGCTAAATCTTGGAAACAACCCAAATGCCCATCAACTGAGGAATGGATTTTTAAAAAGTAGTGTTCTTATACAATGGCATACTACTCAACTATAAAAAAGATAAATTTGAGGCTTTTATAGGTAAATTGATGCAATTAGAGACTGTATTGGTAAGTGAAATAAATCAGACCCACATGTGCAAATATTGTATTGTCTCACTACTAGTGTGAGAACCTAAAGAGTAAATAAAATCTGAAAAGTACAGTAGAAGCTGTGAAAGGGAAAGAATCTGCTCAGTGGGAAGGAAAAACTGGGACAAGAAAAAGGACCAAAGAAGGGGGGGAAATGAAATGTGTATGAATATATGCAAATAGTTTGGATAATTGTACTGCTTATTTCTGCTGGTTAAAAGGAGCAGTCAATGTTTAAATTTCTTTTTATATTTTTATTTTTAATTTCTTATAACTTTTTTCCAGTTTTGCAGGTCTATATCTGATAACCTAAACAACTAATTTAAAGATAACATTATGCAGTACAGCCACCATTGTTGAATTCCTATTGCTTTGATGAAATTTTATGTCTTTTCAGGTTTTTTTTTAACCATTTTGTAGTCCTTAAAAAATGAACTAAATCTCATAGTTCCATGTCCAGCACCAGGGCAATCTGTGGGAGATGTGAACTTCAAAGGGTTTGTATGATCCTGCCCCTCCAACATTGCAGGTGGTCACTGTAGCCCTCATGCCTTCCCTCGGGCCCATTTTGCTCACTCCTTGTGTCTTTCCTCAATCATTCGTGTTCCTGGCTTTGTCAACATGCTTAGGGGCTCTACTTTTGGCTTCACTCTTACAGCTTCGCACACTGCCCACTCAAGGGCATCCTCCATGACCTTGTAGGCCTTTTTCCGAAATCTGGGTGGAAGGCTCCCTGACTGTCTGGCTTGTATCTAGATGTTCCCCCTAAGCCTCATGCTCTTCAGTGGGACTTTTCAAAGGTGGCTGGAGCTAGGGTGTGTAAATATGGATTAAGGGTATGTGATAACCAACTCAGTCCACTGATTGACCTATCGTAGTTCTGGGATAGTGAAAAGCCCCATCCTGGGTGTGAGTGGCATCACCCAAAAGGCTTGTAGCCCTTAAAAGGGACAGAGAGGTTGCTACTTGCTGTCACCTACCTTCCCTTCCATGGACTTTTCCTCTACTGTGTCACTCTTCCATGCTTTCCTGCCTTGGAGCCACCAACCATGGGCAGAAACCTCTACAAATTGAGCCAGCATTAACCTTTCCTCCTTTAACTGTGGATGTCAGGTATTTTGTCCCAGCAACAAGAAAGCTAAGATCTGACCCCACAACTCATATTCTGCATGTGCATAAAACCAGCACCACATGGGTGGCACCCCATCAGTCACCAACTGGAAAACCCTTTTAAATAGCTGAGTCCTTCTGCATCATGGCTGCACAGGGCCCCAAGTGCCTGGGTGGCTTAGCATGGGCAATTGAATATCAAGGAATCAATTTCCTAGGTAATCCTCGTCCAAAACAAAATCCTCCACTTTTATAATTTTGGCCTGCAAACTGTGGGGCCTGGCTGGTTCTTCACATTCCTGAAGGCATTTTTCTTACTGTCCTGGTGTAATTTACTTAGCTTCTTTTTAATGCTAGCCTGTTTAGCAGTCAAGCTCTTTTCTCCATCTTTGCAGGCCTCGACTTTACAGGAGTTTCCTTTCTGGCCAAACCCCAAAACTTATTCAATCATTCAACTTTGCCTTTTGCTCTTGAATCTATAGATAGACTTGGCTCAAGGCCCCTAACAGTACTCCTGTCACCGCCTCAGTACTAGACTGCCTTGAAGTTTCCTCAGACAGATTAATCTGCTGGGCTTAATCTTAGTCTCCCTTAAATCTTAGGATAGGAACAAAATATAGACAAACGGTCTGCTAAAGCGCAGTAGACATGCCCTGGCATCCAACTAGCAATAGAGTCCTTGTTCCCTA